TCTCTCTCTCTCTCCCTCTCCTCCACGGTTTCTTTTTCTTTTTCTCGGGACGAACCCAATCGATCCACCACTGCGGCGGCGGCGGCGGCGGCGGCGGCGGCGGGACCCGCGCGCGCGCTTGGAAAATTTATCACGAATTCACAGTCTGATCTTGGGTCTGTGACGGATCAAATCATGCCACACCGACGTTTTTTTCTTCCTGTTCTTTTCTTTTTTTTCTTTTATACTTTTTCGTTTCTTGTTCTTTTTTTTTTCCATTTTTGGAGGTTGTGTTTAGCGGCATCGGAAGATCAAGAAAAGAGTTACATGTCACGGTTCCCATGAATGATGGGATCGCGGTAAAAAGGAGTGTTGGAAGAGCTCTGCGTAGGTTTCGCGGATTTCGATGAATTTGTGTCGTACACGCAACGACGAATGTGAAAAAGAAAAAGAATTTTTTATGATGACGATGGTGGAAATAATGATAACCCAGTTTTTATTTACTTAAGTTTTTTTTTTTGGGTTAAAGAAATGAACCTTTTTTAGCCTGAAGATGCGATACATGTTGGTCCTAAAGTGTCAAACTTCGAACCCAATTGATGTGGGGGAACACGAAGGTTGTGATCCTTTTTGCTACCACAGCCAATGGAATATTGGTGATGGGACTTGTTGTTCAAGATGGGTGAATTTTTGCACTCCGGAGTTGGAAAAGCTGCCTTCATGACCCTCATTGTTGTAATAGATCCCTCAATGTTTGGTAAAATCGTTGCTCAAAAAAGATATTGCTGACTTGCCAATGGCAAGGCTGGAAAAATACCGGCTATGAATGCTGGTAGAGAGACTCGGAAAATTGGTTGTAGATCGAAAGCGAACCGTATCGATGAACAAACTAACTGAAAACCTAGCTGAAGAGATCAAAGAACTGAAGCAATGATGAGAAATTTCCAGTTTGGAATTGAAGTTTCTACCCTTATTTCATTTGGTTGTGTGGAATACTAGAGAAGTTTGTAAACTCTGCAGGCAGACATAATCTTGAGGGGGTACTCCGGATGGAACTCGAGGTGCGCTTTGGAAGTGCTGGAGAAAGTGTTTCCAAAGGTATCACTCAAATCGTTGGGCTCTTAACGATTTTCTGCCCATCTTGAAGTTTACATTTTCGGCATTTCGCTCGTAGATACATGGTTTGCTGATCAGCAATGTATACAGATGGGTCTGCATGCTGAAAAAATTAGGCACCAATTGTGTGTGGAGGATGTCTTGTTTATGTTGTTACGATCACGTCTCATGATCATCAAGGTTTCTCATTTTTTAGTTCTATTGTCATTTAATGAAAAATCTGTGGCTAAATTTCTGTAATTACCTCGATGCAAGGACGCAGCCACACAACCATCCTTGGTGATCGTCTATTTCGGCGGAAATGACTCAATGCGGCCTCACCCATCTGGTCTTGGCCCCCATGTACCGCTTCCTGAGTATATCGAGAACATGAGGAAGATTGCCATTTATCTCCAGGTAGAATGGATTATTAGATTGTCTGTTGACTACAATTCTAGGGAATGATTTGAAAGAGTGCATTGTAAGCAAAGAGGTGTGAGCGACTTATGGTAGCGACATTCTTTTCAAGAGATGCATGATTTAAACTAGTAAACTGTTGAGCTTGAGAGATGCAACTCGCAGGGCCTTTTAAGTATTGTCCCAAAAAGAAAAATCTCTCTTTTTCTCTGCTTGGGACAAATTCTAAGGCTGTCATGCTTTTCTTAGCAGAGCCTGTCGGATTGTACCCGCATCATTTTTCTTAGTGCTCCACCCGTCAATGAGGAGAAAATTCGCGAATCCTTTAGGTGTGTTATCTTGAATTTCTCATCCTTCTTTTGTCTCTGTTCCGCATGTTGAGTTCTGATAGAGCTTTATACCTGGGATTAGCGATAAGTTTCAAGATCTACGTCGAACAAACGACGCATGCCGAGTATACTCGGAGGCCTGCTTAAAGTTGTGCAGGGAGATGAACATCAAGGCTGTTGATCTATGGACTGCAATACAGAAGAGGGACGATTGGGCTACGGCATGCTTTACGTAAGTTTGCTTAGAAACACATGAAAAGGATTGAGAGATGAAGAAAAAGTAAGATATACATGGTTACCTCAACCGTTCCGGTTCAAACCTCTGTATATACATATCAGATAAAAACTCAATACCATTCGAAAATGGGATAATGACACAAATAGTCCCTGAACTTTGACTCAATGTGCATTTTGGTCCCTGAACTTTTAATTTGTTCAATATAGTCCCTGAACTTTACCCTAATGTTTAATGTGGTCCCTAAACTTTTAATTTGTTCAATGTAGTCCCTGAACTTTTGGTACATGTTCAATTTAGTCCTTGAACTATATGAAAATGTACGATATAGTCCCTGAACTTGAATTAATGGAAGGATTACATTGAACATTTTTATAAAGTTCAGGGACTATATTGAACATGTACCAAAAGTTCAGGGACCATATTAAATAAATTGAAAATTCAGGGACCACATTGAACATTTGGTTAAAGTTCGGGGACTACATTGAACAAATTAAAAGTTCATGGACCAAAATGCACATTGAGTCAAAGTTCAAGGGCTGTTTGACTGATAAGCTCCTTTCTCAGCAATTGACTCCAAGCTCATAGAATTGCAATGGTTTTGCATTGCAGAAACCAACCACTATAATTTTAGTGTGCGAGGCAGTGTTTAATTTCTTTAGGTAACGAAAGCTCTCCATATCAGAGCTATCACTATTATGGTCTGCTTCTCGAATAATTTATCTGACGAAGTCCAGGGGTTGATTGGCTGCAACTAGTTAACGTAGTCTTGAGAACACCTTGTTCAGATTCTACCACATTTCAAACAAGACCTATTCATTTGACTTTGTTACAACGGTCCGGACTTGACGTGCATGATCAAACGATGTCCCCAACAAATAGAGCCTGAAATCAGCTCGCTTTCAATTTTCCCTCAATGAGTTGTGAGCACCAAATCGGACGAGATATGTTTGATCCTAATCTAGTCGATAGATAAACTGGGTTCGTGCATGGTATAACAGTTCGCTTCTGGCTGAACCCTATGCTCTCTGATCCTTTTTATGCAGGGACGGTATCCATTTCTCCTCGGAGGGAAGTAAGATCGCAGTGGAGGAAATATTGAGAGTTCTCAAGGAGGCTGACTGGGAACCGAGTCTTTATTGGGAGTCCATGCCCACTGAATTCGGAGAGGATTCACCTCGTTACCCGGTAGGCCCCGATGGCAAGACCACCGTGAACCTGTCGGATAGCAATTTCCACAGAAGCAACCACTGCAGTAAGTACTAGAAAACCACTTTGTTTGCCTTAGGGCTCTGCTCATCACAACAAGAGACTACTGTAGACTCTGAGAGCAGAGAGCGATTTCAACTGCTTTCAATTGGGTATTTTGTCCTTCTCATCTGTGCTCCTTCCTGGATATGTATCCTATTGGCCGGCATAAAGAAATAAGCACAAAGAACAGAGAAACTGACGATTGACGCCAAGCATTTGTCCGTATTTTACATTTGATGATCCTGGTTGAGCTTTGACATCCCTGATACCCCCCAGTTAAGGCCACAATAAGAATTTGCTTTTTAGTTCAAGAACAATGTACACCAATAGCAGTTTTCAGGGAAGGCAAGAAAAAGGAAAAGCCTTGGATTATTCTAGGACCAGTTAATCATTTGCTTCAACAGGACCAGCTTGCCCGAGCCAGTTTGCTTTGTGCTTCTGTCCAACCTTTCCTAACGGAACAAATGACGGAATAGTAACTATTCCCTAGGATAAATCATTGAGCCGTTAGAGGAACGGAAAGAAAAGGAACTGGCTTTTGTGAATGGCCAGAGTGCTCCGCGTCCGCTTCCTTGCGCCGTGCATGCTCTGTTGAATAAGTTCGGATGATAGTGTAAAGATACCGACTCGGTAGCCTCGTCGTTAAAAGACTCACCTCACCTCAGAAACTAGATTAGAAGAAAGAAGGGATACATTAGTCAACATTCTCCTTGAGATTTCCTACCGTTTGATTCCAAGAGACTGTAGAAGTTCATTCCACACACAAACCCTGCAATCCAGTTTGAAATTTGGACAATTCGTCACTAATCAATAGCTTCCATGGCACAGGTCATATGGTTTCTGTTCTTGTCCATTGAATTAAACTAGGGTTGTAAGCGAGGCAAATACACGCAAGCTACTCGAGTTCGACTAGCAAATTAGGGCCAAACGATTCATTTCCCATATCAGCTCTTCTGATCTGTATTAAGGCTCGAATCTTGCTCAATGCTTTTCAAGTTCGAGTATGTTGAGTATTTAATCCAATCAAGCTCAAACTTGAATTTACTTGACTCGAATAGCTCGAGAGCATAATAGTGATTTGATTTTTTATATCATACATCGTATTACCTGTATGAACGTATAGCTAACGATCTTTGATTTTTCTATCATCACGTATTTTCAAGCTCTAGTTTAATCCTTGTTGAAAGTGAAATTGATTAACCGAGTCGAGCTCACGACTCGAAAAATGTAGTTTGATCAAGATTGATAAATGTAGTTTGATCAAGATTGGGTCGAGTATCGAACCTTGAATTTTCGAATCGAGTCCAGTTGAGCTTAAACATCTTGTTGACTCTACTCGAATTACACCCCAAGAATAAACCGTCATTAACCAGTATCGGTATCAATCAACCGCATATTTGAACTTCCACGCAACTCCAACCGTTCCGCATGGTTTTCTGTAGAAACACCGGTTAGAACATAGAGAACGAACATTGACATGAACTTCCCATCTGCTATTAAATTTCACTATCCTGCTCAAGACATGTTTGCACACCAAGAACCCACTCAAAATACACAGTACAGGGTCTCCAGCACATTAGCCTTCAGGCCACTTAAGCAGCAGACCAACTATTCCAACCAGTCTACCATCTAAGATGGACCTCGCCTCCTCATTTAAATGCTTGAAATGGACCTGATACAGAGAAATAAACCATTACAGAGAAAGAGGAGTAACCCATTTTTAGTGTATACTCGATTGCCTACCAGAACAAACCTGTGTCACTAGCTCCTCTTGATCTAAGTTGTTTAACAAAAGATTGTCTGTACGATATCCAGAGATCCGAGCTTATAAGCATCAAGCGTAGCTCATGAACAATCTACAATCACCGAGTGAAGAAGTGTTGACCTATCCAGTGACCTCACTCTGCATCCCATCACATACAATAGCTGCTTCCACTAACAGTGCCTGCATTTGTGTCTCAAAAGCTACTAGCGATGCTATCACCTTGCTACAAACATACCATGTGATAAACTAACAATGAATTGCTTGGGGTTCCTCAATTGATAAGCTTGTTCGTCATTCTTGCTCAAGATTTGGTTTTGAATTATGATGTTAGCACATTCTATTCAGATCATTCCCATAAGCAGCCTTGTGTGCCTGAAATCAGTCGGCACGCATTGGCATGGGGATGGACTCATCTAGTGAAGATCAGTCCGGTGCTTGAAGAGCCCCAACACCTCGTTATAGCTTCCAAGAGAAAAGAAATGATCAACTGAACCTTCAACGAGATGATCCATTGTTGGTAGCCCAATGAAAAGGATCTTGCATCTAGCTCTTGGCTCAGTTCATCTCAACAAGTCGAAGGGCTCCTGCTGCAAACAGACCATCCACCACAAAGCTGCAACTTAACCATCTGACGTCAGTCTGAGAAAATTGAAAATCAGAAATTCTTACTACCAGCAATCATTGCAAGAGCAGTTTCCTCCAATAAAATGATGATATCTGTTATAATCTCTCAAGATTATATGGCGCCCAATAAGTTCAGATGCATATTTCATAAACATGTGGCAGTCACCGCATACACGAATATTCTTTATTATTCGTATGGGAATTGCACCATCAGGGTTTTTGAGCAAGATGAATGCAAGAGCAAGTTTCTCACTGTGGTAGCTTATAGATGCAAGCTTCTCATCGTCAGCTACATCATGGAGTGCTGACTTTGTATTAGGAATAAAGCCAGCCACTTGTAGTTTCTTTATCAATCTGAGCAGTTCTTCATAAATTTGATCTGTCTCTGGATGAGAACGATCTTCTGACACAAATCTGTGGACCTTACTATCGAACTCAATCCAGCTGTAAGCTGCGACTTTCCTGACATTTCTGTTCTTCATCAGAGATCTCACAGATGCAACATCTTTCCATCTGGCATTAGCTGCATACATGTTAGATAGTGTAATATATGGTCCAGCATTACATGGATCAAGATCAAATAAATGGCTTGCTGCTATCTTTCCAAGTTCAATATCGCCCATTGTTGCACATGAAGACAAAATAGAGGACCAAATTACGCTATTTGGTTGATGGGGCATTTGCTTGATGAGACTCAGTGCTTTATCTCCCTGGCCTGATCGAACAAGGAGGCTGACCATGAATGCATAATGATCCAAAGTTGCCGTAATCCCATGTACTTTGCTGATTGAATCAAAATACTTCTGTCCCTGTTCCATCAGATTGGCATGAACACAGGATGAAAGAACAGCTATAAAAGTGATAATATCGGGTTTCATGTTCCCTTGCAGCATCTCCTCATATAGTCTCAAGGCCTCCAGATCTTGACCATTTTGTGCATAACCACCTATCATGGCATTCCAAGAGACAACATTCCTAGAAGTCATCCTATTAAAAATGAACCGAGCATCTGCAATGACTCCACAGCTGCTGTACATGTCAACAAGAGCACTGGAAACAAGCAGATCATCATCAACTCCCACAAGAATAGCTTTCGCATGCACAGCCTGACCAAGACACAAAAATGCTAATTTGGCACAGGAACTCACCACACTAGAGATGGTAAAACCATCGGGCTGCACATTTGTTGACAGCATACGACAAAAAAGCAGCAATGCATCCTCTTCTCTTGAACTTTGGGAGTAGCCAACTATCATTGTCGTCCAACAAATTTTATCTCTCTCTCTGATCTCATCAAACAATTTCCCTGCTTCAACGACATGTCCACATTGAAAGTAGGCTCTGAGGACATTGGAGACCGTAATCTGATCGGGCTTACAACCAGTCAATTGCATCTCACGGAACAAATCAACACATTTATCCGGATTCCCATTAATCACATAGCCAGAAATCATTGTGTTCCATGAAACCACATTCTTATCAACCATGCGATCAAACAACCACCTGGCCCAATGAATTTCACCACATCTAGCATACATATCAGTCAACGCATTCCAAACAAACGCACTGCCCCTAAAATTACTAGCAACTATCCTGCCATGAATTTGCTTTCCCAGCCTCAAACCCTGCAACTGTGAACAGGCATTCAATGCGCTCACGTGAGTATATTCAGTTGGCGCAAACCCATTTTCGTGCATATTCACAAACACTTGCAGAGCCTTTTGAGGCTGTCCATTCCCAGCGAAACCCGCGATAACTGTGTTATAGGAAACACCGTCGCGTACAGGCATCTCATCGAAGGTTGCCCACATGTCCCCAACAGACCCACATTTAGCGTGCACCGAAAGCATAGCATTCCACGAGAAAACGTCTCTCCTGGGCATTTCGTCGAACAGCTTCCGGGCATCGTCGAGCTGGCCAGACCTCGCGTACAAGTGGAGGAGGCGATTGTGTAAGTAGGTGTCGTCAGGTCGAAAGGAGTGGAGCTCCATGTGAGATTGCAATCGCCTGGCTTGATCGACATCGTGGGCGCGAACGCATTCGAGCACCAGACGAGTGTAGGACTCAGGGGCCGCGCGCCCGCGAGAGTACAGCGAGTCAATGGCTTGGCGGAGCTGGTGTCTCGCCGCTCTCATTTGGTGGGTTCGGTTTTGGATTTTTTCTAACGCATGGATGCATCTGCGTCGATCACTACATCAGCACACGAGTGCTCTTCACAAGACAGATGACGAGCAGATGGATACTGGTTCCAAGAGACTACCACAGAGCCACTACCTAATGAAAGACAGCTTAGAAACTTACATAACAAAATGTCACTAGCAATGACCAGGTCCCAATGTGGCTCACCAACGGGAAAGGTGTCTCCCCATGAATCTGAAAAGTAAAGCCTATTCATCATCCTCAATGAAACAATGAACATAAAAGATGTCTCACATCTTAAGAGCATCAGCATTGCCAGCCAAAAAGAAGCTTCCACAGAATTTTTTCACAAGAGAAAAGGATGAGTATGGCAGGGATCAGAATACAACTCCTTTACAGAAAGCTATGATGATCAAAGTACAGCAACCAAAGAACTCACTAACAGAGAATAAATTTTCCCCAAATCACCGAATAGGGGCATTCATGCATAAAGAATTTAAGAAACATGAAGAGACTGACTACCTAGAACAATCATTATCTGTCAATATGCCAGGTCATAACTTCCTCAGCAGGCTGGTCAACAGCCATTAAGATGAATGTAGAAATTTTGTTGAGGGTTTGATAAGGGACACTCACGTTTGATATGAGGAAGGACAGGTGTAATTCCGTTACTCTTGCAGTTATGCTCTATATTCTCTTCAATCTCCAGGTCATCGTAGTTTGATGTGGTGATGTCAAGACTAAAAGATTTTTGCAGAAAGATGGCCAGAGCTCCAGTTCCACTGCCATTGAGTCACTAAATTAAGATCTAAAACTAAAGCTCCTTGTGTTGGAGTATGTTTGAAGATTTAAAGTACCAAAAGCAGCTGTACCATTTGCGGATACAAAATCAAAGGATATTAAACCAAGAAGCACCAAATATCACCCATTTTGTTACATGAAGATGTAATGCTCAGAGACTCATTCATTATGGCAACCAGATAGTCCAGACAACAAGACAATTGATACGCACCTGCCAAGCTCAATGATGCGCCGTCCTTCAATCCATGTCCGGTGCTGAACTAACCATTCAGCAAATGCGAACGTCCCCGGCCACAAAAGATTAGCATTCAGCTGGTGGAATGAAAACTCCCGGATGACCAAATCCTGCACAACCAATTACACAGGGGGAACAGCTCAAGACCTTAAAACCCTGGCAAGCTGCAGAAAACAGTGCCCGAACAAAAACAAGAGCAAGTAGCATAAAGGTCACAAACAATTGGCACCAATGGCAATAAGAAAAATTTGCATCGGACGAACTGTCTTGAGAACAGTTTTGCCCATTGTTCAGAAACCTCCATATCTTCCCAATCCCAAAGAGTTATTCCCTATACCAACTACAACCCCCAGACCCGGCACCAATGGCAATAAGAAACTTTTGCCTCAGACAAATTGCCTCGAGACCCAATTTGCTCATCGTTCAGAAACCTGCATATTTTCCCAACCCCAACGAATTGTTCAACATATCAACCACACCCACAACCACCAGACCTCTGTTCCTATCCACGAACCGGCACAATGAGGCAGTCCGGCACGAATCGGATAGTTCTTGCCAATGCCCATCTCTAGCCCCACCAAATCAAAAACCCACAAAAATTTTAATCCCATCAAGCGCTCGTGACCCCGAGCAAGAGCTAACGGACCCTACTGTCACACAGATCCATACATGAGAAGAGGTCATAAAAAACTGTCAAAACACCAGAAAGGCAGGTAACATAGGCAGATAGGAAATGAGCAAGCATTCGCAACGAAAGGGAAGGAAGATGGTGCAATCAAGAACACTAAGCTATAACCATTCCGGGAAACCGGTGCGTCCTCTCCGCGTAGCTCTGTGGAGTCTCGGACTCATGCTGCTCCTCTGCGAGACAAATTTGTGCAGCTTGTTAAGGGATGATGCTGACCCAGAGAAGCTAAGAGAGAGAGAGAGAGAGAGAACCAGAGGAAGAGTCGTCAGGGTCGGCGTCGGCGAAGAGAGAAGCAGGAGAGATGAGAGCTATGTCCATCCCCGCGCGATCTGATGGAGTATTAAGTCTGATAAATCATCCTTATAACTTCATTATATTTATATAGTTTTTCTAAGTTTTTCTGAAAATCTGAGATATCAATTGAAGTTTTAAATATGCCAACTATACTTATGTACTTATAACTTCATTATGTTTGATTTGTTATCAGCATGCGAGCCACAGTTTTCATCCAGAGTTGCTATCAGCTGCAGATTGTAGTGGAAACCACCAAAAAAAAGAAAAAATTTGGCCCATTCTATGGTTGACCTTGAAATTGGCCCAAACTGGCGGGTTCGGTTTGAGGGTCGTCCTAGAGTCAACGTGATTGGTTCTCAGTTCCAAAACTGGGAATTGGTCCTCAGAGAGGGGTGCATGGAATAAGTATAATGATTGTAGTGGCATACTTATGTAGTTTTTCGAAGTTTTTCAAAATTTGAGATATCAATTGAAGTTTTAAGCATGCCAATTATACTTATAGACTTATAATTTCATTATTTTTAATTTGTTATCAACGTGCGAGCCATAGTTCTCATCGAGAGTTGCTATCAGCCATAGATTGTAGTGGAAACCACCAAAAATAAAAAATCGATTGATTATTGGGTAGACCTTCAAAGAGGCCCGAGTCAACAAGTTCGGTTCGAAGGTTGGTTTTGGGGTCAACGAAAATGAATCTCGGTTCGAAAACTAGGAACCAGCCTTGACAGGGGATGGATGGAATAAGTCTAATGATTATAGTGGCATACTTATAACTTCATCGTATTTATATAGTTTTTCTAAACTTGAGATATTAATCGAAGTTATAAGTATACCAACTATACTTATGTACTTATAACTTCATTATGATTAATTTGTTATCAGCGTGCAAGCCATAGTTCTCATCCAGAATTGTTGTCACTTGCAGGTTGTAGTGGAAACCACCAAAGAGAAAAAAAAAAATCGACTGATTCCTAGGTAGACCTTAAAATCGGCCCGGATCGACAGGTTCGGTTCAAGAGTTGGTTTTGAGGTCAACAGGATTGAATATCAGTTCCAAAACTGAGAAATGACCCTAATAGGGTAGATTTTAGATTTTAAAATTGAAGTTTATCAACCTTAGAATCAATCACCTTTTAAGGAGTCTTGAGTTTGACTGAAATATGTGCCCTGTCTCTTTGCCCCAGCTATTTGAGGCGAGATTTGGCCACAAAAGACCCTTGCGTGGGTCGAGTAACCTTGGCGAGGGCTTGCTAGAGCTAAAGCAGGGTAGTGGTGTGGACCATCGGTGATGATTGCTGCCACGGCCACCTCCTTCCCTCCCTCAAACTCAATTAAAGGATTACAAAATTAACTATCATTTAAAGAAGAGATAAGTACACTGGAGATCATAAAAAGCTTGTCACGAAAGTGCAATTGAGTCTTAAAACTTGTCTGAAAGTGCAATTGAGTTCTAAAACTTGTTACGAAAGTGCAATCGATCATAAAACTTTCGACAAATGCAATTAAATCCTAAAATTTGTCAAATTGATCCAATCAAGTCCTTTTAAAAGTTTGTAAATCATATTTGGATTCGTAAAATACCTCGTCCATTCACGAAATTAGCCGTATGTTATGTGTACAGTGTTTAAACAAATCTACCTTGTTAATCGTAAATTTTTTGTCATAATTTCTCAATTCCCTTCCGTAATGTACATTTTAATATGGTATATGCAATAGTTTTCTTCATACTTGCATTCGACACCCACTTCAACATTATCGAAAACATTCTCAACCAGATTACAAAGGTTTCAGATCTTCATCAACCCAACAAATCGTATTGCCATGTATTCACTAGAGAAACTGCTACAAAATCGATGTCCATTTTCCATTCCTTATCCTCACTTTCCTCCCCTCCACCCTTTTTCAATTTTTTTTTTTTTGGTAATGTCGATGTCACGGATAGTGGATGACAAAATATTCTCTTTTCGTAAAACTTTTTGCAAGATATACTTGAAAATGAGATCCCCACGTTATCGTGTCACGCTAACAAAAAGGAGATTAGCAATTTCCGACTGCAAATTTATTTTCCTCGCGCGCTCTTATCATGTGCAGGTCAATATATTTTACGTGCGGAGAATAACCGTGCCAGTGCAAGGTAGATCCTCTGAACTCGTTCATGGCACGTCACGACGCGTTCAATAACTCATGTGAAATTATTCTTTTGTCAGCACAATATACGTATATAAAGTCGTCAGAATATTCTTGCTCGATTTATACATGTACATAAGTCGATATCTTTGTCGTGTTAAACGTGCCACTTTATAAGTTTTTTTTTTTTGTACATTAAATAAATGCGTACGTACTGATGAAGGTTGTCGTGTGGGTGTGGGGACTAAGCTTTTTTTTTCGATATAGTAGCAAGCGAAAAGGAACACAAATTCTATGTTTAGATAGAGAGAGAGAGAGAGAGAGAGTGAGTGACACCCAAAGTGGCGTGCTCATAAAGCATTTTTGTCACTCGCGAAGACAGAGCAGAGCAAGAAGCAGAGCAGAGCAGAGCAGAGAGGGAGTGAGCGCGATGGTCGGGCCAGAGCGACCGCAGTTCGTGCTGTTCGGTTCGTCGATAGTCCAGTTCAGCTTCGGCAACGGCGGATGGGGCGCTTCTCTCGCCGACCTGTACGCCCGCAAGGTCTTCTTTTCTTCCTCCTCTCCATCGTCGCCGCCGGCGTCGAGCATCGACTTTCCCCTGTTCTTGTTTTCTTTCTTTCTTTCTTTCTCTCTGCGTGAAAGGATGGAGGAAGGGAAGAGATTAATGGGTCTGGGTCGGGTGTCTTTTCTTGGGATTGCGTTGATGGCGAAAAAGTTAGGTGTTATCGCGGGAGATCTCGTGCCGTGGAGGAAGAGGATTCCTGCGGGGGTTTCGGATGTCTTACGTGGGGTCACTTCAAGCTCGCTCTCTCTCTCTCTCTCTCTCTCCCTCTCCTCCACGGTTTCTTTTTCTTTTTCTCGGGACGAACCCAATCGATCCACCACTGCGGCGGCGGCGGCGGCGGCGGCGGGACCCGCGCGCGCGCTTGGAAAATTTATCACGAATTCACAGTCTGATCTTGGGTCTGTGACGGATCAAATCATGCCACACCGACGTTTTTTTCTTCCTGTTCTTTTCTTTTTTTTCTTTTATACTTTTTCGTTTCTTGTTCTTTTTTTTTTCCATTTTTGGAGGTTGTGTTTAGCGGCATCGGAAGATCAAGAAAAGAGTTACATGTCACGGTTCCCATGAATGATGGGATCGCGGTAAAAAGGAGTGTTGGAAGAGCTCTGCGTAGGTTTCGCGGATTTCGATGAATGAGTGTCGTACACGCAACGACGAATGTGAAAAAGAAAAAGAATTTTTTATGATGACGATGGTGGAATTAATGATAACCCAGTTTTTATTTACTTATGTTTTTTTTTTTCGGTTAAAGAAATGAACCTTTTTTAGTCTGAAGATGCGATACATGTTGGTCCTAAAGTGTCAAACTTCGAACCCAATTGATGTGGGGGAACATGAAGGTTGTGATCCTTTTTGCTACCACAGCCAATGGAATATTGGTGATGGGACTTGTTGTTCAAGATGGGTGAATTTTTGCACTCTGGAGTTGGAAAAGCTGCCTTCATGACCCTCATTGTTGTAATAGATCCCTCAATGTTTGGTAAAATCGTTGCTCAAAAAAGATATTGCTGACTTGCCAATGGCAAGGCTGGAAAAATACCGGCTATGAATGCTGGTAGAGAGACTCGGAAAATTGGTTGTAAATCGAAAGCGAACTGTATCGATGAACAAACTAACTGAAAACCTAGCTGAAGAGATCAAAGAACTGAAGCAATGATGAGAAATTTCCAGTTTGGAATTGAAGTTTCTACCCTTATTTCATTTGGTTGTGTGGAATACTAGAGAAGTTTGTAAACTCTGCAGGCAGACATAATCTTGAGGGGGTACTCCGGATGGAACTCGAGGTGCGCTTTGGAAGTGCTGGAGAAAGTGTTTCCAAAGGTATCACTCAAATCGTTGGGCTCTTAACGATTTTCTGCCCATCTTGAAGTTTACATTTTCGGCATTTCGCTCGTAGATACATGGTTTGCTGATCAGCAATGTATACAGATGGGTCTGCATGCTGAAAAAATTAGGCACCAATTGTGTGTGGAGGATGTCTTGTTTATGTTGTTACGATCACGTCTCATGATCATCAAGGTTTCTCATTTTTTAGTTCTATTGTCATTTAATGAAAAATCTGTGGCTAAATTTCTGTAATTACCTCGATGCAAGGACGCAGCCACACAACCATCCTTGGTGATCGTCTATTTCGGCGGAAATGACTCAATGCGGCCTCACCCATCTGGTCTTGGCCCCCATGTACCGCTTCCTGAGTATATCGAGAACATGAGGAAGATTGCCATTTATCTCCAGGTAGAATGGATTATTAGATTGTCTGTTGACTACAATTCTAGGGAATGATTTGAAAGAGTGCATTGTAAGCAAAGAGGTGTGAGCGACTTATGGTAGCGACATTCTTTTCAAGAGATGCATGATTTAAACTAGTAAACTGTTGAGCTTGAGAGATGCAACTCGCAGAGCCTTTTAAGTATTGTCCCAAAAAGAAAAATCTCTCTTTTTCTCTGCTTGGGACAAATTCTAAGGCTGTCATGCTTTTCTTAGCAGAGCCTGTCGGATTGTACCCGCATCATTTTTCTTAGTGCTCCACCCGTCAATGAGGAGAAAATTCGCGAATCCTTTAGGTGTGTTATCTTGAATTTCTCATCCTTCTTTTGTCTCTGTTCCGCATGTTGAGTTCTGATAGAGCTTTATACCTGGGATTAGCGATAAGTTTCAAGATCTACGTCGAACAAACGACGCATGCCGAGTATACTCGGAGGCCTGCTTAAAGTTGTGCAGGGAGATGAACATCAAGGCTGTTGATCTATGGACTGCAATACAGAAGAGGGACGATTGGGCTACGGCATGCTTTACGTAAGTTTGCTTAGAAACACATGAAAAGGATTGAGAGATGAAGAAAAAGTAAGATATACATGGTTACCTCAACCGTTCCGGTTCAAACCTCTGTATATACATATCAGATAAAAACTCAATACCATTCGAAAATTAATCTAAGTTTGTTCTACTGAAAGGTTCTATAGCTGTGTCAGTGCTCTTAACTGATAAGCTCCTTTCTCAGCAATTGACTCCAGGCTCATAGAATTGCAATGGTTTTGCATTGCAGAAACCAACCACTATAATTTTAGTGTGCGAGGCAGTGTTTAATTTCTTTAGGTAACGAAAGCTCTCCATATCAGAGCTATCACTATTATGGTCTGCTTCTCGAATAATTTATCTGACGAAGTCCAGGGGTTGATTGGCTGCAACTAGTTAACGTAGTCTTGAGAACACCTTGTTCAGATTCTACAACATTTCAAGCAAGACCTATTCATTTGACTTTGTTACAACGGTCCTGACTTGACGTGCATGATCAAACGATGTCCCCAACACAAGCAAGTAATAGAGCCTGAAATCAGCTAGCTTTCAATTTTTCCTCAATGAGTTGTGAGCACCAAAACGGACGAGATATGTTTGATCCTAATCTAGTCGATAGATAAACTGGGTTCGTGCATGGTATAACAGTTCGCTTCTGGCTGAACCCTATGCTCTCTGATCCTTTTTATGCAGGGACGGTTTCCATTTCTCCTCGGAGGGAAGTCAGATCGCAGTGGAGGAAATATTGAGAGTTCTCAAGGAGGCTGACTGGGAACCAAGTCTTTATAGGGAGTCGATGCCCACTGAATTCGGAGAGGATTCACCTCATTACCCGGTAGGCCCCGGTGGCAAGACCACCGTGAACCTGTCGGATAGCAATTTCCACTGAAGTAACCACTGCAGTAAGTACTAGAAAACCACTTTGTTTGCCTTAGGGCTCTGCTCATCACAAAAAGAGACTATTGTAGACTCTGAGAGCAGAGAGCGATTTCAACTGCTTTCAATTGGGTATTTTGTCCTTCTCATCTGTGCTCCTTCCTGGATATGTATCCTATTGGCCGGCATAAAGAAATAAGCACAAAGAACAGAGAAACTGACGATTGACGCCAAGCATTTGTCCGTATTTTACATTTGATGATCCTGGTTGAGCTTTGACATCCCTGATACCCCCCAGTTCAGGCCACAATAAGAATTGCTTTTTAGTTCAAGAACAATGTACACCAATAGCAGTTTTCAGGGAAGGCAAGAAAAAGGAAAAGCCTTGGATTATTCTAGGACCAGTTATTCATTTGCTTCACGAGGACCAGCTTGCCCGAGCCAGTTTGCTTTGTGCTTCTGTCCAACCTTTCCTAACGGAACAAATGACGGAATAGTAACTATTCCCTAGGAAAAATCATTGAGCCGTTAGAGGAACGGAAAGAAAAGGAACTGGCTTTTGGGAATGGCCAGAGTGCTCCGCGTCCGCTTCCTTGCGCCGTGCATGCTCTGTTGAATAAGTTCGGATGATAGTGTAAAGATACCGACTCGGTAGCCTCGTCGTTAAAAGACTCACCTCACCTCAGAAACTAGATTAGAAGAAAGAAGGGATACATTAGTCAACATTCTCCTTGAGATTTCCTACCGTTTGATTCCAAGAGACTGTAGAAGTTCATTCCACACACAAACCCTGCAATCCAGTTTGAAATTTGGACAATTCGTCACTAATCAATAGCTTCCATGGCACAGGTCATATGGTTTCTGTTCTTGTCCATTGAATTAAACTAGGGCTGTAAGTGAGGCAAATACACGCAAGCTACTCGAGTTCGACTAGCAAATTAGGGCCAAACGATTCATTTCCCGTATCAGCTCTTCTGATCTGTATTAAGGCTCGAATCTTGCTCAATGCTTTTCAAGTTCGAGTATGTTGAGTATTTAATCCAATCAAGCTCGAACTTGAATTTACTTGACTCGAATAGCTCGAGAGCATAATAGTGATTTGATTTTTTATGTTTAATCATACATCGTATTACCTGTATGAACGTACAGATAACGATCTTTGATTTTTCTATCATCACGTATTTTCAAGCTCTAGTTTAATCCTTGTTGAAAGTGAAATTGATTAACCAAGTCGAGCTCACGCTCGAAAAATGTAGTTTGATCAAGATTGGGTCAAGTATCGAACCTTGAATTTTCGAATCGAGTCCAGTTGAGCTTAAACATCTTGGTGACTCTACTCGAATTACACCCCAAGAATAAACCGTCATTAACCAGTATCGGTATCAATCAACCGCATATTTGAACTTCCACGCAACTCCAACCGTTCCGCATGGTTTTATGTAGAAACACCGGTTAGAACATAGAGAACGAACATTGACATGAACTTCCCATCTGCTATTAAATTTCACTATCCTGCTCAAGACATGTTTGCACACCAAGAACCCACTCAAAATACACAGTACAATAAAAAATTGAACACAAGCGTTCTTCTCAATTTGATTATCTTACATCTCAGGACAGTGGAAATCTTAATCCTCCATGTCACGAAGTACTCTTCATTTTCAATCACATGCTCAAACAAGGGGTATGCTACAATCAGAACAAAGAAATTCTACATACAGAAGGGCATTGCACAAAGAGCGTCAGTAGATGTGGGCCAGCACGCAAAAAGTCTCATCCTTTCCGCGGCAATCAAATCTATCGCAGATGATCACTGCCAAAACCTCTACTTCTTTCCACATAAGACGACATCAGGGCATAACGGTATCTGCATTCAAGATTGCTCTAACTGGAGAAGCAACTAACGATGGCAGCTCGAGCCCATTTTGGAAGATCTGATTTTAGCTAGAAAGCTGGAACCTGCCACTAGGTTTTTTTCTCCTCCATCCCTGAGAAATTCCACCGTGAGCAAAAATATAGAACAGTACGACACACCACGAGACTCAAAATGAACGTGCGCACAAAAGAGAGGAGATCAGCAAGGAGAGGTCCTAAGAACTTACAAAGGCAGCATAATACACAAAGGTTAATCCAGCTAGAGCGACAAATGCAATCTGGAATACATTATACCTGCAATGCCATAGCATGCACAAACCAATCAGTATCAAACACAAATAAGTATCAATTTGTTCCCAGAAGCGGCGGCCACTCACTTGTACAAGTATTTAATTCCACGAAGGGACTCCAATGTGTGACCAAAAATTTCTTGCGCTGCGGTTGCTTGAGCGTAGTATCCAAATGCTGTCGCGCAAAATTGGATAACACTGAACCAACAAGATCACAGTTAAAACTTTTTTAGCCAGTGATGATTCAGTTATGTATACCCAATAGAAAAGTTGCTATTTGATCCAGCGAACCTAGATCGTTTCCTCCTAGATATTCTCAGAGCACAAGTCGCCACCATGTCTACTAGTTTCCACTTATCATATATCATAACAAACGATAATACTAGACATATTGCAGGAGAAATGTACATATTGGTTTTGTGACAATATAATTTTAATATTTTTTTAAATATGAGAATTTCTTTACAGGCTGATGTATCAGTTCCAGTGGAGACAATATAGCAGTCCCCACCAAGATTTATCTTAGAAAATGATGGCAAAGTGGGACATCAATATGCAAAGGAGAAGGCACAAGGACTGAAGTGCAAAACCTGATAGAGCAGAGAAGAATGAGTGCAACGTTGAAAAGAAAGGAGTTCATGAGAGTGGCTCCCCACCTGAAACAATTTGACAAAATCAATTATCAATGACCAATAGCAGACTATTTAGGTTTTAATGCATTTCTAGCCAATCTGCAGCAAGCAAATTTTTAAATAAAAAGGAAAGATACAAAAGTGGTGGCTGGGACACCATACTTCATTGGGTGGATCGTTATGAACACTAATCTTAGACCAAGCATCATTGCCCCAGCAATTACAGCCAATAGGAGATAGAAGCAGAAGAATGCAAACGCCACAGTACCCAAAAGCCCTGCAATAAGCATGGATAGCAAAAAAGAAGCATGGATATTAATTCAGGATCAGATAATCCATCTCATGGAGCAAAGATATGGAGGCATCTTAACAAGCCACAGACATGGAATTCTGAGGGCCTTAACATACCCCACACATCATCCAGCTTGATGAAAACCTCGTTCAGGAAAGGAGACAGAGGTGGATTTATCAAGAGATAAATGACGATATGAGCAACCCAAGCCACTGAAACAATCAGCCTAATAGAACAACAATGGCACAATTAGACATTAAAACTTATGAAGAAATCGATCTATCTATCAAGATTCCAATCAACACTAGCCAACCATCTAGACAACGAACTGAAATGTACCACACCAAGAGACCCTGATTTAGATGGTGCACTAGAAAGTTGTCAGAAATAGTCCATTGCAGCAAGCCAACGCATAAAGCTGTGAGAAATACAAGCTCAGTTCAATTAATAGTCTCAATCTTCAGTCTTCGCCCTGAGAAAAGTTCTTGACCTCGGGGGAGGATTGTAATTTCTAGCAGTGTCACCAATTGATTATATTAAGGAGCAGATTCGCAAGTGGTGTTCTGCAGTTGTCAAGTAGTTTGACATATGTCTCAGGGTATGATGATTGGTCACATCCTATAGTTCCTCAGAAGAAACCATTCCAGAAGAAGAAGAAGAATGCCATCCTTGTTGAACGAAGACCAAATTAACCTAATACACAAGCTCCATGGTTCCACACTATCTAAACCATTTCCATACATATCTTCAATATTAGAACTGCATAGAGTCAAAATACAAGGAAATTCAAAGCAATCTAGTAATATCGGTCAATTTACAGCCAAATGAGTACTTTAATAAAGCCATGTGCTCAGTTCCGTGAAAAAAGCACATTTGGCAAACAATTATCAGTGTATTATAGTTATTAAAGTCACATGTCAAACAATGGTATAGCTAGCATTAATATCTCTCTAAAATACCACACTGACACCTGTTGAGAGAGTTTCCCCATCTTATGCTAATGAAATTTACTTCTTTTACCATAAATCGGTTTGAAATTCAAAAGTTCATAGTAAATATTATCATATGATACAAAGCATGGTAAGCAAATTATCCAAGTAAACTAGTTCATCTCTCTAGAGAAAAAGGAGAACAAGAAGATATATTCACAAGCAATATAAAAAGCCATTTGATGCCATTAATTACACAGAAAACTAGTCATTCTTCAATAGGACTGAGTGAAATTACCCCAAGATACCCAACACGAGTTTCGCTAGATATCCAAGAACAGTCATAGCCCAAGTAGTCTCAGCCTGACAAGGAAGAGTACACAATTGTCAGCAAAGTATACTCAGAAATCAATCAAGAATTTTTCTTAGTGCGCAAAACCAGTTCATCACCTTTTCTCCTTGAGGATACATTTCTTCCAGAAGTTTAACATCCTCTTCCAACTGCAGCAACTCCTGTATGTTTGCAAAGCATGACAATAAGTTGCAGCAACCAGTTAAGAATGAAAAGAGGCATATACCAAGGAGCCACATTTCATCGTAACAGTGTCCAATGGTGTTTACCACCCTCCCAATTGAAAAACAAAACCAGAAAGAAACAAGTGCAAGTCAACTCGCAATTACTGCAGAAGACCCTCTTGGAGAAGTTACTGAGCAATGATCCAACTTGTGAGGTGTTTAACATTTTGCAACTTACTAGATCCACCCCCATCCTTCCAGAACTACTCAAAGATACAAAAGCAGAAAGTGGATAACCAGAGCCTAAATTACATTGCATGCATCAGAGCAATCCCATATTGGACCAGAGCACAGTGTCATGTGGAAAAAAACCACTGTCGAACACCAGACATTCTTATCACAACACCTATGGCCTTAATTAAAAGACCTACTGTATCACAAACAAGGAGAACCAAACTAATGCAATAAAAATATCATACGATAGAGCACATCATTGTTAACTTTAGGGAAATAAAAGGCAGGGAAAAAGTTTACCCATTTTAGGAAAAAGAAGTAACCACAAACAGATAAAAGATTTTGACATAATCATATTATACCTAAATAACTAGTAGGTAATCAGCCACCCTATCAAGCACAGTAAAAGGAGTCCAGGATATTTTCAGTACATGGGAAGTACCTTTTCTACCGCCTTTACATTCTTTCGCCATTTTCTACCCTTAGAACCACTTCTTTCTTCCTGATGGAGAGCATCAGCAGCTTTCTTCAGTTCTCTTGCCTTTTTACCTAACTCAGTTGCTTCCTGTAGAATACCCACAATTAGCCAATGACACCAATTGCATATTGCACCTACCTATGACATATGATTAGCTAATAGAATCGCTAGATGACGGCTATAGTAGAAACATGAGAAAGCACCTTAATATATTGTGACCGTGTGATGACAGCCTTTGGACGCCGGATGAACGAAAATATAAGTCCCAGCGGCAGACAAGCAATACCAACACCACCGAAAATCTGATGAACATTAACAGGTGTAAAGTGAGCTATACATTCACTGAATCTGATGCTGTTTAAAGCTTTATAAATTAGAAAATGCGATCATGGGTCCCAGCATGTTCGCATTTCAGTATTAGTCACACACCAATTGCTCATTAACATGAGAGAGCATATTACAATCCCGATCGCCATACACAACAATATGCTTGAACCAGAAATACAACAAAACATCTCTCCTTAGAACAATAGAGTTCACCAAAGAAAGGCATACCGTGAAAAGCACTGATCCAACCACTGTAGCAAGAGCAACAACATATTCTGGGAAAGTTGCGCGCATGGTCCACGTTTTCTCTGCTGAGGCTGGTGCTTGATAGGCAGCACACTGCAACATCCAAATAGACCAGGTATGAGAACCTTTACAATTGCATACAGCACAAACTAATGCCATGAAATTAAAGGACCATTATTACTTAATTATCTATTTCTACTTTCTAGACATCAGAAAATAAAACCACAAGCAAATGTCCGAAAGTTAGATAAAACCTGATGCGAACCGCCCCCAATACACGGCTGACCAGAAGAAAAACTCCAACTGCTTGGAAAGGAAGCTGTGCTCGAAGAGAGATGCATAACAGTAAAGTCCACCTTCCCAATAAGCCCTGATATCAAAGAAACGAGCGAAATGCATATTGCACATCAAAAGACTCAAGCAGACATGCTTGAATTCTCAGCTCAAGAGCTAAAGATTAAAAAGATAACATCATAATCTCTGCACATTTAAGCAGAAACTCGAAACAATCAAAGATTAGAGTTGCAGCTGCCACAAGATATATCTTGTACTCTATCCGCGGATTTAACCTTAAAAAAATATTACATCCTCAATCAGAGAATTTAGCAGCTCATTTATGAATTGACTGGTCGAAACCACTGCGTCGCAAACTTCAATCATATCTTTCCCATAGCATGAAGCTGATCAAAACGAAACAACTACAGTAGCGTATTCAAGAACTAACCGTACAAAATGCCAAGCACGAGAGCGCACACAATGCCGGTGGTCACGACCCATAACAACGCACTCTTTACCCGCTTCCCCACGCTCCTGGAACCAAAAAAACCCCAATCAACGGCCACATTGCACGCGCGCGCAAAGGGGGGGCACTCAAATCAGAGAACTCGCCGCTCCAAAAAGAAAAAAACCCTAAAGATCAAACGCACTTGTCCTGGTCCCCCTCGTAGTAGAACATGGCGAAGGGGATGACGAAGAACACGAGCACGGCGTCCGCGATGTAGATCGCGAGCCACAGGTCCTTCATCGGGAGGGTGAGGCTGCAGGCGCCGTTGTAGATCGCGTGGCGGCAGGCCTGCCGGTTGGCGACGTCGGCGGGGAGCATGAGGATGGAGATGGCGGCCACGGAGAGGCCGAGGACGACGACGAGCTTGGGGAAGTAGGCCTGGTTGGCGTCGTCCGGGTGCTGGTAGTTGACGAGGAGGTAGACATTGAAGAGGAGGACGAGGGCGCACACGACGATCGCGACGATGACGAGCGCGAGGTTGAAATCCCCCATCGCGCGCGCACGCACACACTCGAGCGAGCGAGCGCGCGAGAGAGAGAGAGAGACGCCCGCTCCCCTTCCTCCCTCTTATCGGAAACCAAGAACCGATCGAGAGCCGGAGCTTCGAGGCGGCGACAATGGCGATGCTCGCAGATCGGAACGGGGGGGAGCTCGGGGAAGGAAACGCAGAGAAGCTTTGAGGAGAGAGAAGGAGAAGAGGGGGCGAAAGAGAGAGAGAGAGATGGGGAGGGCGATGATGCGGTTGAATTGGGGAGGGGCAGAATTACGGATTTGCCCCCGGGAGATGGAGGAATGGCACGGGGTCGTTCGCGGTGATGGGCATGGGGTGGGTGGGGAGAAAACGGTAAAATTGGGTTGAGCTGGGTTTCATTACAGTATTCGAAACCAGCCTGTCCCCCAGCGCCAACGGAGTGATATGGCGTTATTTTTTATTCTTTATTTTTTTTGTGGGAGAGAAGGGGTCGTAGGCTCCGCTCCGTCGCGGAAGGCGCGGCGGAGGAGGAGAACCTCGGGGAGGGCGCTTCCGAGGGCCGCCGCTGAATGGCGACGGTGGCGAAATCATCGATTTTGAATATTTATTTTGAGATCAAAACCCGTATAACCAAAAAAAAAATTATTTATTTAATATGATTCATAAGCTTTTCTTTTTGTCTAATTCAATTTTTGCAACCATGTATTCTTATTCATGTTAAGTCAAACGAAAAAATTGACGTATAATGTTAAGTTTGCCGATGCCACCCAAGCACCTTGAGAGTATAGCATCCCTTGCCGGGCCAGGCAAAGGTGACACGACCTCCTCTAACCTTCATGCTAGGCTAATGCAGAAGAAGGAAAGTTCGTGGCATTGGCCAAGATCACATGAATTGACTGGATATGCACGACATAGATCATATTGGTTACAATTGTGCAGGGAAAATATCTTGTGATGTTTTGAAGATGATAAAATAATCAAAATCTATTGATATGTCTAGTGACTGAGTAACTAAGTGAAAGATGCACAAGACGCTAGTATTTTCACAGTATGTCTAAAAGTTATGAGTTTTCTATTAATGATGAACAAAATATTGAGTGTAAATGCGTTTACAAGTTGAAGGTACCTGAGCAGAAGGTGAACAAGCAGGAGTTTGGTAAAGTTGGACATCATGATTACAAATTGCAATCACAAGTCTATGACGATATGGTTGCAATCTCAATTGCAATTCTATGGCAATACCTAGTGCCATTACAGACCTAGGCAACTACATCTCACACCTCAAGCGAGATCAGGTAAAGTTAATGTCGTGACCATCTCTAATTCTAAGTAGATAAATTGTGACAGAGAGAGGAGGAGGAGGATGCGAGGGTCGCCTCCACCACAAATTTGGACAAGGCTCTCGACTTTCGCACAAACGCCAATACACGATCGAAAGCTATTGTCAGGGACCCATGTCGTTATAAGCGATCATGCTCAATCAATGCTCCCGCCCACGTTGCCACACACACTTGTGTGTACATATATAGAGAGAGAAAGAGAGAGCAGCCAACATAAAGTAGCACACGTTTAAACACAACGTCCTAGGGTGAGGTTCACATAAGTCATGGCATCTCGTGGTCATGAATATATCTACACACTAGTGACAGTGGCTAGGGTCAATCTTGCTAGGATGAATCGAGTGCTGGTTTGTAGATAGGGTTAACACCGTCACCAATCCCAACCACAACAGCTAGTTGTGTGTAGGTTTTAGAGTGGGTAGGGTATTCAACCGAGCTTTAGAACTTACTATGTTGGCATCAATTTAGAAAACTTAGAATTGAGAACCTACCTTATGGCTACATTTGATTGTCGTGATTTTAGTTGGGATAGGAATATATAGGATAAGATATAAAATTCAGGAATTTTCTTATATTCTATATATTATTCGATGAATTGCAATAATAAAATCGATATTTAAATATCACATCTCATCTAGTGTTTGGTTTGAATGTTTATGTTAATGTAAATGAATTTGAAAATGTACAAACAAAGATGTTAAGAATGTTTTACAGTTTTTTTTTTTTTTGTAACCCAGGGAACCCCCGCACGGCCGACAGCCGGGAAGTAAACCCTGGGGGTGACACGTGCTAGCCACCACACACGTGCCACCGGTTAAGTCACCCTGCGGCGCCCGGGATTCAAATACTCAATCTTTTGCGAGAGGAAGAGTGCGCGCTCCAGCAGCGCCACCCAGGCGGGTGGTTAAGAATGTTTTACAGTTTTTTTTTTTGGTAAGGAGGAATGTTTTACAGTTCGTTGCTAAAGAAACCATAAATGCACAAACGGAGATAACATCCGTTAATAAATCCATGAGTACTGTACAATTTAAATCTAGAATAGCAAAGTAGCTCATTACAGCATTTTAGCGCCACGGGTTTGCCTTTGATAAGAAATGTAACCGAGATACAGCAACATCAACTAAGCACATCAGTCAGCAAATGCCCAATATAGTAAGGGTGAAAAAACAATATCATTTACCTTCATAATAATTCCGAAGAGCATGGTGCTTGGACTCTCTCGCCTACTTCATTTTTAGCCAATTCTACATATTCTCTTACATATCTTTATGCAATGAATGCCTTTCTTTCATTTCTTCTTTCCTTTTCTTTCTAGTTCCTATGCTTCAAACTCGAGGCCTGTTGTGGATCCTTAGCCATAACAGAGATGTTTCCACCCACAACGGCCTCCTTCGCCTATCTCCATTGTTGTGGAGTAGATTGCGAGGATGTGTTCTGTATTTTAACATGACGGTATTCACACTTCTTATACCCTACGGTTGCTCTCTTTGTGATTTACATCCAAGAGATGCCAAGATCCGCATGCTACCTCAAACTTACTTAGGACCATTCTTTCCTTTTCTTTCTAATTCCTATTTTTTTTGCTATTTCAAAAATACTTATTTAGTTATTTTATATATATTTTTTAATTTCTAATTAGCCACACGAGACACCAACATGACACTTAACATCCATCAAATGACCACATCAACATTTTTGCAAAGCTTCACCACAAAAGTACCAACTTAAAAGAAATATATTTTCAACGACTTATTCAACAGAAAAAAATATAAAAGAACTTAATTGTACATTTTACAAAAGTTTGGGCACTATTAATTCTCCAACAATTCCAGCAACATCACGTTGCTAAGGAATACTTGGCAATTCTATCAATCCAATTCAATAAACATCGATAGTAATCATTATTTCTTCTTTTTAATTACTATTACTATATTTTCACGCACGTTGTCTGGATGTGTAAAATTGACATTTCAAAAATTAAACCAAGCTATCTTATTAGAAATATTTAATGGAAAGAAATTCTTGATTACTCGCACAACACATAAATTATGTAAACACACGTGGAAAGAATGGTTTATCAAGATTTGTACGTTTTTTTTAAAAGAAAGTTGTCACACAACAGAAGAGTAGAAACTTATCAGAAATAAAATAGAATTACTAAGTTAGACATTCATCCATGAAAACAATATTTATAAGCTAAGTATCTGGGGATATTTAAGAAAGGAAAAAAATTAAAACCTTTTAAAAATAGGAGGTTATCTTTGTTTCATATAATAGTACAGAAAAATAATGGCGTAGATATTTTTCTAAAAAAAATCAATAAAGTAGATACCGTATTTGTATTATTAATGAAGATCCCAGATTGCATACTTGGCAGCCAAATCCAAATTAATTAAAGAATAAATAAGTTATCAATTATGATTTGAATCATGGAAACATAATCTATATAATTATGTGCTTTTTCCTCATGTAATAGATCGACAAATCAAAATTCACCAATACTTTCTCTTTGCAAAGAATGCCATAATTTACTTCCCCATCTTTTCACTCAAGTAAAATGACTTCCTCAGGAAAAATTACCAAATTCGTCCGGAAACGTATGTTAATTCAGTCACAAATTTTTAATTATGTCAACGTAATTTTAAGTTTTTGTGAGAAATTTTAATATGCCCTTTTCAATTAATTTGCTGGAAATCGTTAACCTAACGATTTATTTGAGTATAATTATCTAGGTTAGCGTATGGAGTAAGTAATTTCATTTAAAATCAACGGGAAGGATCATATATATATATTTTTGATCGTGTGAAAAGATTATATTGAAATTTCATAAACAGTAAAAAATTATATTGACGAAATTGAAAGTTTTAATGCTCAATTATTCACACCCGTGCGATGAATTTAGGGACGCACCAAAATTAATCGAGGGCCCACAAAACCCAATTGAGAGCGCGCGATCGAGGTAAAAAAAAAGGAAAGGAAACGGAGCCCAGCAAGAGCAGCAGAGAGGCGAAACGCTCGTCGGGATTCCTTCATCGTCTATACCTTCGCCGCCTCCGTCCTCCGTTCGAGGTTCACAGCGCAGCCCTCGCCGGCTCACCGTCCCACCCGGCGTATCGGAGCTCCGGTCCGGGGTCGGCGGGGTGGATCGCCGCCCCTCCCATTGCGGCGCCGATGGTGGCGATCGTGGCCTCCGCAACTCCCAGGGAGCGGCTCGCGGGCCTCGTCGGCTCCGCCAAATCGTCCCCCGACGTGCCCTCGAAGCTCGGCCGCCTGCGCGACCTGAAGGAGGACCTCCTCCAGGACGACCCCGTCCTGCTCGCCGAGTTCCTCCCTCAGCTCCTCGACCTCCTCTCCGACCGCTGCAGTCCCGTCCGCAAGTTCATCACTCAGTAAAGCTTGCTTCGTTCTCAAAACCCTCTGTGTGTTTTGTTCTGGCTCTACTGAAGTTGAAGTGTCCTCTTGACTGTGCGCTGTTGGTGCCGTGCGTAGGATAATTGGTGAAATTGGGATCAAGCAGCTGGAATTTCTACCTGAGATGGTGCCCGTTTTGATGTCGGTCTTGAAGGATGAGTCGCCGCCGGTTGCTCGCCAGGCTATAAGTTGCGGCATTGACTTATTTCGTCACACTTTCGAGAGAATTGCGATCCAGGTACTGTTTATTTTATTTTTTTTCCGAATAGCTGTGCGGTGGATGTTGCGATCGCAACTTGTAGCTTGTGTAATGAATGGATGCTAATTCCGTGTTTTTATGTGACCGGAAA